TCTCTCTCTCTCTCTCTCTCTCCCTCCATCCCTCCCCTCCCTCTCTCTCTCACCTGAAGTGCTGCTCGGTGAACTGGTGAGCGTATTGGAGCAGGTCGGTGCACGCGTGAACGTCTGCGAACGCGCGGATGCCGAGACAGTTTGACGGGTCCAGCTGGGCCTTCAGGAACTCACTGCACGCATCTCGTACCTCTATCAGCTGCAGAAGGTTGGCAGCAGGCAGCAGCACCTGTGTATGAGAGAGAGAGAGAGAAGGTTAGATAAGGAGAGAGAGAGAGAGAAGGTTAGATAGGGAGAGAGGAAAGGTTAGAGAGGGAGAAGGGTCCAGCTGAGCCTTCAGGAACTCATTGCACGCGTCTCATACCTCTATCAGCTGCAGAAGGTTGGCAGCAGGCAGCAGCACCTGTGTGTGTGAGAGAGGGTTAGAGAGGAAGAAAGAGAGAGGGAGGAGAGAGAGGGAGGGAGAGAGTCGGAGAGGGAACGCCAGGTAAGATTAAAGACTCAGCGTGGGAGTAAGGTGAGCAATGACAGTGATAACCATAGGATCCCACACAACAATAGATATATATAAATATAAGAGAAAAAATAGAATACATAAATGAAGAAAATATGCAATAAATGTGTTTTTTCCCCTCTTCCATTTCTTTCAATTGTTTGCATATTACATACGTGTGTGCGAGTGCATGCCTGCACGCATGCGTGGGTGCATTGAAAGCTGCACAGGAATACACACCTGTACATTTTCCTCCGTGACATGAATTTCAGACGTGTACACAAAATCAACTAGATGTGATAGGGCCTTGGGGTCAATACCCTACAAAAAGAAAATTCACGACATTAAATGCATATTATATAGAGTGAGCTGGTAGTTCTACTAGGTTAGATCGCGTTGCCTGATTATAATTAAAAAGAAATAAATCTCCGTCACTGAAACCATAGTTACACAATTGTATAGATTTTATAATAACTCTTCCCATACACATATTTACCTCTCACATTGCATAAAATAATAACAGTAATAATAATAAGCAATTATTATTACTGGTTTGTAGCCATATTATGATAATACTATAGTGACAAAGTAAACTGGCACGCCCGGGACACGTTTCTCGTCACCTGGATGGGTATCCTTTCGGCTTTGCTCTCGCTCAGTTCACCTGTGAACATGGCATAGAAGTAAGGGCTGCAGGAGGCCAGCACCGCCTTGTGTGCCGGTACCTCAACACCACTAACCAACAACACGACTCGTGGTTACACCGCTGACACCTCCATTTCATCTGGCGTCCAAAACATATGGGCCGCACAAATGTTTACGTCATCGCTCGACTCCTGGATGACATTTACGGCACGTAAATGATATGTTGATAAATATCAACAACTGATTTCAAGTCTTGTTTGTAATGTAACCAGCAGTGATATTAGACACACTAATACGCATTTGGCTATATGGTTATGTACTTATTAACTACACAAGGTGCCTGTTTCTACTGCTGCCAGGTGCCAGGTGCTAGCATTCGTCAACATTGCATAATCAATGGGCCTAGTATGCCTTTAATTAATAACCCACGACTACATACTCGTTGTGTACCAAACGGGGATATAAAAAAACATGCCAATTTCCTTCCCACAGCCACGACACCTGCGCATTGCCTCATGGGATTACCGCAGATAATAAACATTAGTGATTACCAGGGTTTCTTCTGAGGGAAAATTAGACAAAGGAGGTAATGGCCAGTTTGGGAAAAAAACGCGCACAATCGATTCAAAGGAGTGCCGTGTCACATGACTCAATAAACGCACATGGCAATCTAAATATGCCAGAAGCACGTGGTGATGACTGATCTATTTATCTTTGGGTTGACACTATTTTGACAACGGCGGGTAAATACAGGAACATTTTCACAACGGCGATGTTAAATTTGACAATGGCGGTCCGCCACTGTGCCTCTTATGTATAAGAAACCCAGATTACAGCATGCCATTGCCCTTGAAGCAAATAGGGGAAGGGGGGGGGGGAGTTGCCATGGATCCTCAAACAGCTATAACTACTCGAATCGTGTACTGGAAAGAAATACTCATTTTTTCCGGAAATAGCCGAACGGTAGTAGGGCCAAAGTTCGGAATCGCTCGGGTCCATAATACACATGTGTACACACGCATTGTGAACCCTAACCCTAACCCTAAACAGAAAAAAAAATAAAATAAATAAACAGATGGGATTCGAACCAACATAACCAAATACCCTGGTAAGTAAAATAAGTATTTCTCCCTGGTGCAATAATCTAACTACTCACCTTCTCCTCGCTCGGTACGGTTAGCTGGTCGCTGGATATCAGACGACAGACGTCGTTGAAGGATAGAGAGAGGAACTCTTCGCACTGCACCACCTCACTGCAGCAGATTATACACACATGAGTGTCAGTATGTTTTTACTTCTATATACGTAGGATACGTACGTCTTTATTACTGATTTATGTATAAATAATTAAATGTGTGTGTGTGCGTGCGCTGTACTACAGTATATATTAAACAACAATGCCTTCTGAACTCTTCCTACTGCACCTCCTCACCCGTGGCAGAATACATTAGTGGCACACGGCTGTCTTTAGCTTATC